CTGGGTGAAGCCATTGGCGATCATTTAAAGTTGGCCCCCTCACCCCCTACACGATCACTGAATTTTACGCTGGCAGGGTGGAAGCCATGGCCGGGTAGCCCTAGGTGACGTGGGATCGGGTCGGGTGCATTTGCAGCCCCCCTCGGGAACGACGCCCCTTTGCCACCTGGGATCACAGGGCGCTAGCCTCACCTTTATAATTATTATTAGGACACGTAAAATAGGTAATTAAAGGGGTTGTAACCCATTTTTTTGTAATGCAAATTAGGTACAACCACATGATGTTTTTCGTAGCCCAACAAATGAGTAGTCCTTTACGTCTGGCCGAGTTTGTTGCTAAATTAGTAGTAGGAGTCGCTAGTAAATTAAATTCTTACAAGCGGCTGTAACTGTACTTCGTGGGTTATTTTTCAAATAGGTGACTCAATGTTGTGTTTTTTAATAGATAACGAAATAAGTGTAGGCTGTCCTCCTTTAAAGTCCCGCGTCCGAGAGTGATGGCTAAACATTGGATATCCCGGGATGATTTTTAGTCCCAGTCCACCACTGGCTACATGACCGTATTATCGCCCATATCGATGCACCTAATTCCTAAACTTCTAACAGATACAACATAAACCGATCCTTCAGCCACATATGAGCTCTCAGACACGTTCAAAATTAAACTGTCATCGCTGTCTGAGCTTGCTGGAGCGCTGTGCCCGCAATGACGTCACACATAATTTGGCGGGACTTGAAGAATCCCCGAGAAGGTCCAGAAAATGGTCAACATTGAAGGGCAGATTAATGGTTATCAAAGTACAAATATCCAAAATCAGTTCAGTAACGGTTTTCAAGGGGACAATATTTACTCAAATTGATGGGTTTGGATGATGGGGGAAACTCGTGTCACAGGCTCTTTAAATGTATTAAACGTATAATTTAGTGATATCAAAATATAAATAACTAATGTCATGCAAACATATTAATATTTGCTTGATTCCAGTGTTGAATTTAGCACAATTGCATACAAACGTTAAGGGATTTTAAGATTCTGAATTATTATGCTAAAAACTCAATAACTTAGATTATTATTCATAGTTTTGCTGAATAGTTTCATGTCCGCTTACCTTAGAAACGTAAAATGCGACGGCAGTGTGCAGATGGGGAGCATGTTAGCTTAGTTTGGTAGCTTCAGCTAGCTCTGGAACTTCCAGCTCGGTGACAGGAGTTGAACTCTGTCGAGCCGTTAGTGGCAGACTCCGCCTACTAAGGGCTTCTCCGCAACTCTGCAGAATCCTATCGGTGACGTCACGGACCCTACGTCCATTTATATATAGTCTATGGTGCAAACGCGCTAAAACGGCCCAAAACCCTCCCATTAGGATAATGCGCTGCACTTTTAAAAAGTTGGTTAATGTTTTTTTAAATGTTGCATTTTGTCAAGTTAGTGAAGAAGTTTCTTTATTTGCATGTGTACATTGCACATTTGTGTTTTTGTATTTGCATTTTCTTTTTACGTGTAGCGCATTTCACCTAATGGAAATGTTTTGCGCCATTGTAAAGCATTTGCACACGTCTGCCACTGTACATTTTAGTTAGAAAAGAACAAAACAGCATTTGGTTATGGTGATGTTACCTTTTTTAGTGGGTAAATAGAATTTACCAAAGCATAATGTCACTTGTTAATCTTGGCTAACTACGCTTTGTGAAAAAAAAAGTTTTAGATAGAACTAATTGATAGTACTTATTTGAAATGACTCATCATAAGGCACAACGAAAGCAGTCTTGAACTTGATCTTGGTCTTATCGAATTTGGAACGGGTGCTGCCGCTGTTGGTGTTAGTTGACTGGCAGATCTCTTCTGGATTCCAGGCGACAGATTTAGCAAGGAGTTAAATCTCTGAACCTCCGGTGTCAAATCCAAGGGCACAGGAAGTATTAGCGTTATGTTTGTTGCCATGGACACAAATGCACAACATACATGGATTGCAGAATTCAACGATAAGGGACTAAATATATAGCGGCATTACTCTACAGAAATAATTTTTATTAGCACTGCAAGACGTGTCATACTAACTATTTTCGTACACACAAAGAAACAGACATGCACACACAATGCACACACATACAAGGAAAACTGCTCATCTCTCATTACACACGCACAAAGCTCTGTCAGGGCTTAGCCTTCTATTCTGACTTTCTGCAGCGTCCGTGCCACCGTTACGATACACCTGTCATCACACCATATGAGCTGCCAAACAGCTTTCTGGCTGATGTGCATTAGCTGCTTCCTGGAAGCTCTTCATGCTGGATATAGACCCACACACACAGCACAGTATCAGTGATCCAGATAAAGCTGCCAACGGCTGACTGGAACTTTTATTAAACAAAAAGTATTCCTGAGTAGGATGTCGAGTTAATCCCACTTATCTAAGGATATTTTAGAAAATCTTAACCTAAACAGAGGTTGAAATCACAAAATAAAGCAGAAAGCATACTGTATCTCCAACTGTGCAATATGTTGCTTTGACGACATGGATGCAAAATACTACGCAAAAGGCATTGATTGTTAAGAATGCAAAGACTGACACATCAGCATGCATACACACCTCAATGCCTTTGTTAGCCCTCCTGGCAGATTGCATTTTAAACTGTAAGTGCTGCAGCTTGATTAGTATCAATAACCAGTGTTAATATTGCAACTCTATCAGAATCACAATCTGCTTAAACCAACCCGGTATCACGGCAAGACGTGAACATGTGACGATTTACCATGCTGGGAGACGTGAATATGTCACGGTTTTGTCCCTTCAAAACGTGACAGTTACACGGTTTTGTTAACCCATTTTAACCAGTGGAGAAATACCCGGAAGTGCCAAGCAAAGGCTCTACCGCGCCTATTGGTCGGTTTTCATTGTCAAAAAAATTAGATGTTTTTAATTTATTTTTTAATCCTCACACTCGATTTCGCCGATGTTCTTGTGGCCCTAGCTGGTCGACAGTCGACCAGCTAGGGCCACAAGAACATCGGCGAAATCGAGTGTGAGGATTAAAAAATAAATTAAAAACATCTAATTTTTTTGACAATGAAAACCGACCANCCATGACTACACCTAGATTTCTGGCTTTATCTGTTGTTTTGAACATTGCAGACTGAAGCTCAGCGCTAACTTTTATACGTTCTGCCTTGGCTCCAAAAACCACTACCTCAGTTTTATTAAGGTTTCATTTTGGTTAAATGAGGTCTACTGGCTATAAATTTAAAAAAGATAAGTTAACCGGTGATAATGAGTTGGAATAAACCCAGATTCGGGTGATCATTTATGAGACATGTGGATAAAAAGTTGAACCTGGAAAACAGTTGTGTCGTTGACGAAAGGACGACACAAAGGATAAGCAGTTAATGTTATTGGTCATTTCTTGTTATTTAAT